GAAAAGATATAGGATTGTCTTATTCTATTAGAATTCATTTATTTGAATCAGATGTTAGATTATTTCGAGAATTTTCTTTAAAAAGAAGCCTTTAAAGGTCTTTTTCACAAAAATCTATCTTTTTAATCAATGAATATTGACTTAAAACATACGTGACGATAGTTAAAATGGCTTTAAATCCTTTATTATATTAGAATCCATTCATTTGGATAAAATATCATTTTATTTCAAGATTTCCTCAGAGCAGACCTTTAAAAGCTTTTTTCATACAGATAGATGTTTATCAATAAGTAGTATTCATCTAAAACAATGTTGGAGATTATCAAAAAGACTTCATAATGCCTCATTCTAGAATAATCCATTCTTCTGGATGACAAATCAACATACTTCGATATTTTGGAAAAGAAAAGAGCATTTTTAATTGACTTAACTCGGATCTTAGTTGGTGTCCTAGACCGTCTGGACGTGAATAGTCCACCTGTAGTATTTGGCGCGTTGTCTAATACAGATACGAGAACATTTAAGCACACATGCAAGAGTCATCCATAAAATTATTTATAATGCTAATACATGTACACCATGTAGCTTCTAGAGAGTTATTTGCAGATGCTGCCCGCATCACCTGGAATACTACTAGCATTATCAGGAATGTTAGAGATATCTGCAAGAATGGTAGTAGTATCGTTAGACATGCTTATAGCATCCTGACGAATGGTTGTAGCGTGGTCGAGAAAAGATTGTGATAGTTCTAGATTCATTGAACGCTAGACCTGAATGAGAGAACTGATAGGCATCTGTAGTTCTGCGAACTGAGTTGAATCTGTCACATATCGACTAATAAGCTTGTTGTAAAGATTCATTATATCTACATCAGCACTTCTCGATATGTTATTATATTTATCTCGGTAAACTCACAAATTCTGATATTGATTATTTTCCAAAGTTATGGATTGATTATTTGAGATACTTTAGGTTGATCTTTTGATGACTGACAAATCAGTTTATTATTCTTCATTATTGTTTACATCTTCAATAGAAATTTTTATATGCACAAATATCGAAGTCTACACTATGTGAAATACTAAAAAATATATTAGAACTACTTAAAGTTCGAGGAAAGCTTTGAAATATTCTAGAACAGTCAAAGTCTTGTTGTTGATATCGTTCAGCTCCTCCTCCATTGGTAAGGAACTCTAGAAAAGGAGTCTGAGGTCTATTGTCCACTGTTGTCGAGGTCTTTAGTGGGAGGTAGCTGATTAGTATGATCTGTGATGAGGAGGAAGATGAGCCGCGAAACTTCTACTTCAAACTTCCGCTCACTATTTTCTTCAAAAATATATGTAAGTTTCACAACATTGATGTTCATAAAATAGAGATCTATTAAATAGTAAAGAAAGATTTTTTTCATGAACACTTTGTCTTTCATTTTCTTGAGGTAGCTCACAAAAAACTTTTAGCCTCATGAATACAAAAAAAGAAATAGGGTAGAGCTTTTGCATATATCATTTTCTGTATCATCCTCATATTCAATAGCATCATATGTCGAAGTGTTGTTGGTGATAAGAAAGAACATTGATCAACATATTCTGTTGGTATGCTAGTTATTTGTCTATTTAACTACTATTATAGAAAGAAATCTTGCTTTATTCTTTAATTTGTGTTTGTTATTTAAATAATATAGAGTGTGGATAGGTGTGGGTGTTGATGAAAAGATAACTCATACCCACCCTTACATAGATACTAGACACTAACGATGCAGGATACAGCACTAAACTTTTTCCTTCCTTACAGACTGACAATAAGTCAAGTTAACAATTGGACAATTCTACAATGACAAATTCAATATTTAAATGCCTCATACATGCAGTGCAGCTTCAGAGAAAGTTTTCAAATCGTCTTTACATTGTGTTATTTCTATGCATTTTGGTTAATACTTATTTCATATTTATTTGGTATAACAAGGCAAGATCTTGTGATAGAACCATGCATTTGAATATAACAAATCTTTATCCAGAGGATCCTCATGTCAATTGCTTTTGTCTTCTTAATGATGGGTTGAAAAATCAGCCATCTGTTGGTTTAAATAGATGTTCGCCTTCTGTAAATGGACAAAAAATATTTGAAGTACATAATAACAAATTTGGTTATAATTGTGTTTACTGTTGTGCTCTTGTGGGAGTTAATGCAACCAGTGAGAAACGTATTTCTAGTGTTAGTATTTTAACGACACAAATAACAATGATACATAATCAAAGGACGTCTAAGACAAACCAAAAGTCACAGAGATTTTTAACATTAGAAGAAATAGGAATTGATAAAGTGTTCGTTATCAATCGTGATATTAGAAAAGATAGGCTTGCTTATGTGTCGAAATTACTTGGTTACCTCAAGCTTCCGTTTACAAGATTTCCGGCTATTGATGCTGATAAATTTCTTCAACAAATGGATAGATTCGATCCAAAAACTAAATTTATTCAGAACATATCAAAAATAAGTAACATCAATGGACAGACAGCCACCTGGCAAAGTCACTTGCAAGTTTATTTTAAAATAATCAATGAAGTCTCAGCAAATGATCGACCTGTGCTTATATTCGAAGATGATATTGATCTTGAAGTTAATGCATCATCTCTCCTTAAAGATGCCCTAAAATCACTTCCAAATGACTGGGAAATGTTTTTTTTGGACTACACTTTCATCAATTGTAAAGACGTTTATCCAAATAATATATGCAGAGCATATATGTTGTACTGCACAGACGCCTATGTTGTTCGTAATTCAACAGTGGCTAGAAAATTAATTCACTGGTCTAACGTAAAAACACCGCAAGTGGCTGATCTATATTGGGGTCAATATATACAAAATGGTGCACTTGTAGTATATGCTGCATATCCAAATCATATTGCCAAACAAGAGAGAAAGAAATTCGGAACTGATGTTCCAGAATCAGGGCCTATTGATGTTGTAAACCTTCGAAATCCATTATCGAAGATATTACAGGTGTAAACTTGTTGAACTTATACCAAGTTTTAGAAGCGATCTCTTATATTGAATCTGTTCCGTAGACTGAACGGTTATGATCTACAAAGAGTACTTAAATTTTTTTTTCTGTTTGTAGCATGATTATTCAGTCATACAAAATAAATTTTGGTCGATCACAACTTTTCGAAAACATATTATTTGTACAGAATTGTGGTAGCCGCTGTGCAGTTGTATACGGAATGAGCTCAGTATATGCCATTCTATTAAGCTAAACAATGTATGGAAGCTTGATTCTCTCACTATCGTATAAAGCATAAAAGAACGAAGGGTAATACACCAGTTTTCACGCTTAGAACAGATGTGGAAATTTTATACCAGGTTAGAATCAACATTAAGTTCTGAGTAAAACTGGGTCACTTTGTTTGCATTCGGGTATAAAAATTTTTTCGATCCTTCTCCACCCCTGAAGTGTTCCCTTCAGGAAAAGTCGAAAAACTCATTTCCAATTTCCCTTTCTCTTTCTTGTATTTATGATAGAACTTTTCATGGTGATTACAGAATATGTCACCGATTTCAAAAGCAAAGCGAAAACTCCGGAGACAGAGTCGTTAGCAAACGAGCTATCGCTTAATGTATTCGAGTTTCTCAATACTGTTCATATTTTTCGCGTTTTGTACGATCTTGACTCTCATTTTGACAATCTTCTAGGGAAATGTATATTAGATAGGAAAATATCATTTCAATTTAGTAATGTTGATCAGCATATTTTCCATATCAAACTTTCTCTGCATATATTCTCCGTCTATTGGAATATCGAAGTAAAACATTGTGTATGCTATTCATTGCCTATGGAAATTTTGGTGTTTCACAACAAATTGCACGTTGCAATGGGGGAAAATGATATTTAAATTAGAAAATCTCAAGAGGATTGATGTAATATTCATTTTCATGCACACGTTTCGACCTGATTTTTTACTAACATCGTAGCATTTTAGTGAAAGCAAGAGATTTTAAAAAATACCAAAATAATATAAAGTAAAATGCGTGACATTCTATTGGATAACAGCAAACATGTTCATAGAAGTAAAATAAAAATTTTCTCTCTTACGAAAGACATACGTTAATGAATGGAAGCATTGAAATTTTCTTGAAAACTAGATTTTCAACCAGATCCATCTTCAGTATTGTATTCGCCATTCATTTTTGTTGTGGGTTTCTTTTGTTGATAAAGAAATAATCGCATCGTACATTCAGATCATGAGTAGATGTGGGTGAGGGTGTTGGTGTAGGTTGTAATCACATTGAGATTAATCGATACTCATACCCATTCCCACATTCACACCCATACTCACAGCCCACACCCATCCACACCCTGGTGGGAATGGGGTATGGATGGATGGTTGTCGGAGTGTGTGAGTATATTTTATCTTATCTTCATTCACATCCACACTCACACCCTTTTTTGGTAATAGGATTAGTAGTTTTGAACATCCACAGAAAGTTTCAGCTGAATCTCTTGAGCTATTCTCAAGATATAGCCCTAGAAAAAAGCGCCTTTGTATACTCGTCAATTTTAGGACTTTTGGAAAAAAAAGCAATAAAAAATCAACAGTAGGGTATTTTTTGATGTGGTTTGCGGCAAACTTCATCAAACACTTGCCCTGCCACATATATGATAATGAGCAAAATCTGAAGTAGTCCATTGAGCAGCTTTGTGTACGGGTGTGGGTGTGGGTGTGGATGCGAATAGAGTGATATAACACCCATACTCACACCTTTATTTGTGATTTTTCATATAAGAAAAGCTTCACATTAGAATTCGATCATAATAA